TAGTATAGTGAGGATAACTCACCTCGCAACTGTCGTCGGAAATAAGAAGGCTCAACTCCTGGGTCCAACACGAACTCCACCACCTATAGGTACCATACAAACCTTTTTCATAAATCTCCCAAATACCAGAAACCATCAGAAGTCAACTGGTCAACCCTTGGTCCAAGTCAAAGTCCACAGTCAAAGTCAACAGTCTATGTTGACTCGACTCGTCGAGTGCAGATCACCGACTCGTCGAGTCCTTCCTGAACTCGAGAAGTCGTGAAATCCTTGATTGGCTTGTCGAGTTCCCTTTTTAACTCGTCGAGTTCATACGTGGCCAAGATTTGGAAGAAACCCTCGCCAACTCGCTGAGTCTTCTAACAACTCGCCGAGTTCAAGGCAATCTTCAACTAACTCGCCGAGTTGCTCAACCAACTCGCCGAGTTCACGGCTATGTTCATAGGACTCGCCGAGTCCAGCGTTCTACTCGCCGAGTTCATTCAGTCCTTTTTCCATACAGACCTGGTTTGAGCCATGCAGCGGCCCCAAACCACAGATCTAGGCTTCTAGGGCATGCTTATCACGTAAAGCTGCAAACTTTACATGCGTGCATAGCTTTAAGGGCTCCAAATGTCAAAACTAAGCTCTTAATGGGGTTCTAAGCTCAAGAGGGACCTCAATCACGAACATAACTGAGACTTTACAACTCTAGAAGGTAATGAAGGTCCAGATCTGAAGTATAGCCCAACCATAAGGTTTCTCTACCAAGGATTTGGGGTTTTAGGGCTTAAAAGCAACAATTTAGGGACAAACAAGATCTAATAGATCAATAATCAAGATGGAAACTTTATTACCAGAATGGGTGACCACAAATGAATGTGTTCTGGATCTAAGTCCCCTTCCTTGAGCTCTTCAACCCCTTCCTTCTTCCACTTGCTCCAATGTGCACCAAAAGTCCCTTCACAAGGCAACAATCACTCAAACTCACCAATGGAGACTAGGGTTTCGATAAGGAATGCTCTGAGGGTGATGGAGGCTGAGATGGGGCTATAAGGACGTTTAAATAGGGTGCAAACCCTAAGGATTAGGGTTTCCTCCTGACTGGCCTACTCGCCGAGTCCAGGCGTGGACTCGCCGAGTAGATCACTTAAAGCCCGCGTCCAATTCGACATCTACTCGGCGAGTTAGGGCTACAACTCGCCGAGTAGCTCTTACAAAAAGAAACATTTAATCAAATTAAATACGTACTAGGAACGGGGCGTTACAGTGATCGTACCGCTCCTCATTTTTATAATGTTGTTTCTGGGATACTCTGATAATATAAGATTTGGAAACCTTTTTGTAATAACTAATGGAACATGGATTGTTTATGAAAAGTTTAAATTGGTTGGAAATTTTTGGGTGTTACATTATGTAATTAAATTTCTAATTTTGTTCCACATATGGACAAAAGCTGAGAAAATCTATCCCTTTCCAAAGGCACCTTCCCCTGCAACCCACATTAGTTAGGTTCCATGTGAAGAGACGACATGTGGAAGCCAAGTCAGTAGTAGTAGTTACTAGTTAAACAGGTTTTGGGACAAATGACTAAATAATGGGAACAACAACAATAGTTTATTGGCCTTGAGTGTAAAATTGACATATTAAGTTCCCATTTGATTACATTAACCATAGTAAGAAAATATTGAGAAAGTGAAATCTAAACATGTATGTTTTTTTACGATTTTTCTGACATGACATTACATAAAACATCTTGTTTTCTATATAGCCAAAACTGGATGGAATGTTGTTGTAAGCAATCATCATTGACAAGTTGGTTCTTATGGAGATTACGAAAAAGATCAAACAATTTAAAAAAATCTAGAGACAGACTTCGATCCATGGAATTGGAAGAAACTAAGAATTCTCATGAGAAAATTGGTGCATTCATCAATGAAAAATTCGCCATTATCCGAGCAACTCAAACTATGTTCATCGAAGAACTTCAAGAAAATGTTGTAGGAATAAAGAAATTTGATCCATATAATGGTTTGGTTAATGCCCATCTTCCAATATGTTTAATTTAATTTTAAATTCTTTGGGATTATTTTGCTTTATCAAGTTTACAAATTTTCAGTTCATGACGAAGCAAAGGTTCACTACTAGAAAACATGGCGTTTTCCTACGGAAAATAGCTACGGAAAACTTCCGTAGCTAATTAGCTACGGAATCGCTGCGGATCGGCTACAGAATGGGATGCCCTAATTTAGTAACGGAATAGCTACGGAATAGCTACGGATGCTACTCCGTAGCTATTCCGTAGCTAATTAGCTACGGAATAGCTACAGAATAGCTACAGATGCTACTCCGTAGCTATTCTGTAGCTAATTAGCTACGGACTGACTACGGAATACCTATGGATTCTAATTACCTACGGATTATCTACGGAATATGCTTTCCGTTAGAATTTCGTAGCTAATCCGTAGCTAACTACGGATTTTTCTTATTTTCGATTTTTCGGGCACCAAACATCGTTTTTTTCGTTTTGTTTTTTTCACACATCTACTATACATGATTAAATATATTTTCACCAACTTATAGCTATTCATATCGTTCATAAAGTCGTGTGCCCATTCGGGATCATGTACTCGTTTCCCAGTTTAACATGGTAATGCATATACTTTTCACCAACTTGTGATGGATTATGTTTGTATATGTATATTTATATACATGAATGAGTTGTGGTATAAGTGTACGTGTATATGTGTATGTATACGTGTTTGTGAAATGTATGTGAACGTTATCATAAACATTATAGTGTTAAACCAGTAAACGAGTAATGGATCCCGTATGTGCACACGGCTTTATGAATGATATTAATAGCTATAATTTGGTGAAAATATAGATAATCATGTATAGTAGAGGTGTGAAAAAAACGGAGCGAAAAAAACAAAGTTTGTTGCCCGAAAAATCAAAAATAAAAAAATTCCGTAGCTATTCCGTAGCTAATCCGTAGCTAATTAGCTACGGATGTTTATTATTTTTTATTTTTCGGGCACCAAACTTCGTTTTTTTTCGTTCCTTTTTTTTCAGACCTCTACTATACATGATTATCTATATTTTCACCAACTTATAGATATTAATATCGTTTATAAAGTCATGTGCCCCTTTGCGATCAAGTACTCGTTTCACATTTTAACATTGTAATGTCTATACTTTTCACCAACTTGTGATGGATTATGTTTATATATGTATATTTATATACATGAATGAGTTTTGGTATATGTGTACGTGTAAATGTGTATGTATACATGTTTGTGAGATGTATGTGAACGTATTCATAAGCATTATAGTGTTAAACCACTAAACGAGCAATGGATCCCGTATGTGCACACGGCTTTATGAATGATATTAATAGCTATAAATTGGTGAAAATATAGATAATCATGTATAGTAGAGGTGTGAAAAAAACGGAGCGAAAAAAACGACGTTTGGTGCCCGAAAAATCGAAAATAAGAAAAATCCATAGCTAATCTGTAGGTAATTAACTACGGATCAGCTACGGAATTCTAACGGAAAATATATTCCGTAGCTAATCATAGGTAATCCGAATTACCTACGGATCAGCTACGGAATATGCTTTACGTTAGAATTCCGTAGCTGATCAGTAGCTAATTACCTACGGATTAGCTACGGATTTTTCTTATTTTCGATTTTTCGGGCACCAAACGTCGTTTTTTTGGCTCCGTTTTTTTCACACCTCTACTATACATGATTATCTATATTTTCACCAATTTATAGCTATTAATATCATTCATAAAGCCATGTGCACATACGGGATCCATTGCTCATTTAATGGTTTAACACTATAATGCTTATGAATACGTTCACATACATCTCACAAACACGTATACCTACATGATGATGATGATGATGATGATGATGATGATGATCATCATCATCATCATCATTATCATCATCATCACCATTACCATCACCATCATCATCACCATCACCACCATCATCACCACCATCATCACCATCATCATCAGCATCATCATCATCATCATCACCATGACCATCACCATCATCATCATCATCATCATCATCGCCATCATCATCACCATCATCACCACCACTACCATAACCACCACCACCTCCATTACCCGTTTCATTGATTAACGTTGTAATGCTTACATATACATATACACACACATACATATACACACACATACATATACATAAGCACCCACATACATACTTATACAAATATACATATTTCCCATAATTATCATATTTTTTTATTATTTAATTTATACATTAAACGTATATTATTTTTAATTGTTTGTTTGTGTGTTAAACACATTTTTAATTGTTTGTGAATATTATTATTATTAGGACTATTAGTATAATTTTTAATTGATTGTGTTTTAAATATGTAAAAACAAAACGATCATAAAAAAAGTTTTAAGACTTGAATAATAATAATAATAATAATAATAATAATAATAATAATAATAATAATAATAATAATAATAATAATGTTAATAATCATAATAATAATCGAAAAAAGAAAGTGTATAACATTAATAGGAGACTAACTCAGCAAGGATGTGGCATGCCCGGCCGGATGGTAAGTGTGTTGGTTAGTTATGCAGGAGACTCGAGTTCGATTCTTACCCCACCCCGTTTTTCTTTATTTTTCCAGAAACAAAATAAAATCAATTGGAGTCTAAACTCTTAAGGAAGTGGCATACCCGGCCGGTTGGTAGTCTCCTTGGTTCTTTCTACGATAGACGCGAGTTCGAGTCTCACCACCCCTATTTTTTGGCATTTTCGATTTTAGGGTTTCAAAAATCGAAACTTTTGTCCGCCTCCATTTAGCGGGATCCATCGACAAAATTTTTTATTCTCCCGCTTCTCTCTGTCTCCGTCCCTGATTCGTTTTCCCTCTTCTCTCTCACTGTTTCCTACTCGCACCTCCCCCTTACACCCCCTCTCGTCTTCGTTTTCATCGTCGGAGTTCCATCTTACCGCCGATGTTGTCAATGTTGTACATAGAGATTGTTTTTAGCCCCAGTCATCTCTCGTCGCCATCACCAAATCCGTATATCTTCATCACCGATTCATCGTCGCCCTTTTTTAGCTTCGGTCAACTGCTTGCCGTCGCCGTCATCGGCTTGCTATCGCCATCTTCTGCTTGCCATCTCCATTGTCATCATTGTTTCAAGTAAGCTTTTTTTGGTTTAATTCCAATTAGGTTTTCGTTTTGGGTTAGGATTGATTTTGATTTAGACTTTGTTTTGATTTAGGGTGTGTTTTGATTTTTGGGTTCAGTTCGATGCCTTCTTCAAACTGTTGATGCCTTCTTTAAACTCCTCTGCTCCATCTGTTATCCAGGCGACCAAGGTTATTACTCCAATTCTTCAAATCTGTTTCGAATTAGACTCAAACCATGGTTGTTTGAGTTATGTATGATGCTTATAGGTTGATGTTTATAGTTTATTGTTTGATGCTTCAAGCCATGAGATTTTTCCATTTGAAGGTCTGCCACCAGATTGTGTTTGATGCTTATAGTTTATTGTTTGAAAACCACCAGATTATTGCCTGATGCTTCAAAACTAATTTCGTTTGATGCTTCCATTTAAAAATTTGTCATCAGGTTCTTGTTTGATGCTTCAAGTCAACAGATTGTCTTTGTATTTCATGCTTAAAATGCTATAAAAGGTTCATCTTTTCCTCAAAGATTCTGATCTTTTGGTAACTGAAATCTCTTTTGGATTTGAAATTGCAGCAAAGTTTTTTGTATGGAATTAACTTCGAATTATCAACAAAAAACATTTCCATGGTGAGATGTGTTTCAGAGTTTCTTGAAATGACAGAAGAGTATGTAGTTGGAAATCTAGTAACAAGATCAGAAGCTAATTTGTAGTAGTGAATAAACAAATAAGTAAAAGTACATTGCTATATTTGTATTTTTTTCGTGATCATTGATTATAGTGTGTTGAAACAGGAACAATTGATGGCCTTTGATTCAAAACTCAAATTGAAGAACACTTGTCACCCTTTATCAATTCAACATACCCGATAATTTGCCAAGTAATCCACCAAGTAATCCTCAATTTTATGTTTGTAAGCACTTAGTTAAACACTTGTAGTTTACACTTTTAATGTGTATTATTACACATTTAATGTATTATTAGACAATGTTCAATTTGTATTTGATACTTTTTTAGGTTTATGAGTTTTATTATAATGTTATTTGTTTTGTGGTTGTTATAAGTTTAATGTAATAAGTTTTTTCAATAATTTGGACATAAAAAACTGGAGTTTTTTTAATAATTTTTTGCTGTTTTTTTTTAAAAAAAATTAAAAGTAATTACCTACGGAAAATCCGTAGGTAATAAAGTCAAAGTAGGCTCCGTTGGTAATCCGTAGGAAATCCGTAGCTATATATTTCCGTAGCTATTCCGTAGGTATTATACCTACGGAAAAAGCCGTAGCTATTCTGTAGCTAGTCCGTAGCAATTTCGTAGGTATAAATTTCCCACGGGCATTTATGCTACAGGGCATTTTTCGTAGCAAATCCGTAGGTATCGCCTTATACCTACTGAATAGCTACGGTTTTTGCCGTAGCTGTTGCCCTAGTTTTCTAGTAGTGGTTTTAATACGGACAAAGATTCAATTCTTCATCACAAAGGTATATTTTGTTAATCTAGAAACTATAATTAATTTATAAATATTAAAGTGAAAAATGAATGACAATGTATATTTTTTTAACCCGATGATACCAGGGGTGATTAAGATGCATGAAAAATCCTTGTGAACATATATTTAAAAATATTAAATAGATGGATATTTGATGATATGATTACAAGATATTCTGTTAAAAATGCAAGATGATACTCAATATCCATGCAGATGATACTCAAGATCCAGCTGTAGATGAACAACTAAACCATATAAACCAGTGCTTATCACTTAGACGAGAGTCCATGTTGATGTCCTATAGCTTCAAAAAACATAAAACTATTTTATATAATTGTAGTATGAAATGCGAATCTCTTATATAACAGGTTACAAGTCAAGAAATACCAGGCTAAAAACGCAAGAAATAACAATGCACTTATGATAAATTTGTTTAAAAATTAAAACTTAGGATTTTGTCAATTCTATCTTGAGGGAGAGTGCTGATTCTATCTGAACTTTGGAGTTGATGAGATTTCATCTCGTAACAAGGTTGGATACTTCACAAGACTGTAAAGTAGTATGAAATATAAATATTTGCTTCAAACATATATGAACAGGTTATTTCAAACCAAGATACAACTATAGAACTAGAAGACAAATATACAAATGAAAAACAAACATGCACATGATCAGTAATACTATCTTAAATATATTTTGTCTAACTACTAGAGTTCTAAATTCCTTATTATACCTACCCATATGGTCACCACAGTTTCGATATCTAATTCCCAAAATTACCTACCTATCCCTCAGAAGCATTATATAATTGCTATAGCATGTGATAGGGCTAAATTTTACCTTTTTCTTTTAAATGGTCACTCAAAATTTTTTTTTTGGTACACTGTGGCTCCATAAACTTTTAAATTACTGGTTAAATAAAGAAATATCCCCAAAATTTTTGGGGTCACTTGTCTTGGTGAGCTAGCATCCAGATGACTTTTTGGTTAACTAGAGTAGTCACGTGACATCCATATGGATTTTCATGTTAAAAGTATTTTTGTTTTTAATTAAAAAATAAGTTTTTTTTTGTTTTTTTCCTGTTTAAAAATTAGTTTTTAAATTATAAGTCCCACCATCACCATCACCACCATTGTCGACCTCCCACCACCAGCTTCCTTTATTCCATCATGACACACTAAAAAGAACACCAGAAAAATATGAAGGAATTCAAAGCATTAAAAAAAACCCAGAAAGTAACTTGAAATCTTTAAACCAAAATCAAAACTTGGCACTTTATGAGGATGATGGAGGTTGAAAATGGAAGACAGTGGCATACAAAACAGGTGAGTGCTTCTTATTTGGTCCACAAAATAAGGAGGAGTTGGGATTGGGTTGAGCACCGCAAAACCGGCCTCCCTTTCACTGCCTCTAGCCACCGCTACTATGGTCTCCCTCTTCTCGATATATCTTTTGTTGGAAATTAGAAAAGACAGTTTGTTTGCAATGTTAGAAGGAAAACGATGGTGAGCAAATATGGGTTTTTGCTGCTGTCTAAAACGGAAAAAGAAAGAAGGGTAGAGGGGCTGCCAAAGGCTTTTTCTTAGATGAAAATGAAAGACAAATTACAAGGTGAAAAAGGATATGAAAGCTGCTACGTTTCAGCTTCTATTTAAGCTTACAAATACTAACTACCTAGCATTAAAAGTCAAGGATCATTTAATGCATATACCACACTTATTAGTCTAGTAGAGGTATGGGGTATTTTTCAAACATAGGGGAGCAGAAGTCGAGTTTGTAAGGAGGTGAATTAATGTTGCTGACTTTTGTAGTCTGGTTTAATAATCACATTCTCCCCCTTAAACCGGACCAAGCTCGGTATCCGTCACTATGATCATATGTCGCATTTCACCATGCTTCACGTGTGTCAAGGCTTTAATAAAAATGTCCGCTCACTGTTCTTTGGAAACGACATGTTCCACTACAATTTTCCCTTCCTCAACACATTCCCTTATGAAGTGATCATAACGAGTGTCAACGTGTTTGCTTCTACCATGAAACAAATGATTCTTCATCAAGGCAATTGCTGACTTGTTGTCAACATACAATGTGATAGGCATAACATGATGTCCCGTAAGCTCCTTCACGAGATTCCCAAGCCAAATGGCTTGACACGCCGTCATTGTGGCTGCCATGAACTCAGCTTCACATGTAGACTAAGCAATGGTCCTTTGCTTTTGAGATTGCCATGTCACTGCATATCTTCCAAGGTAGAAAATCATCCCACTTGTACTTTTTCCACCAACTTTGTCACCTCCATGATCACTATCGCTAAAATCAACCAAGTCCTCAATTTCACAACCCTTTCCATAATTGAGCCCATAATCAATGGTTCCTTTGACATATTGTAAAATATTTTTTACTACATGGAAATGCAATGTAGTTGGTTGTTCCATGAAACGACTTGCAAATCCAACCGCATATGACAAATTTAGGCGAGTGTGTGTCAAGTATTTGGTTGGGTCAACTTTTTCACCATTTTCATCTTTATTGATCTTCGACTTTGGTTCCATTGGTGAAGTTGTCAGGTTGCAATTTAGCAACCCAAATTGCTCTAAAATCTTCTTTGCATACGCCATTTGTCGTACAAAAATTATCCACTTCTTTTGTGTCACTTATATTCCAAGATAGTAAGAAAGTAAACTGTAACATCCCGTTTATTAAATAAATAAATAGATAAAATTAATAAACAAATAGTGGTCCTAAATGCGGAATAATTTAGCAAGGCGTTGTTGTCGGGGGTTAGAATGTAATTCCCGAATTAGTTTGTAAAGAATTTTGGAGGTTGAGGGTGGTTTGGTAAATTCTAGATTTAAATTGAAATAAAATCTTGAAGAGAGGGGTTGAATGGTAAATATTGGATTAAAGTTGAAAAGATTTTATGGGGGCAGGGGCTAAAGTGTAAGTTTGGATTTAAATTGAAAACAAATATTGTGGGGAGCGACTAATATTGGATAAATGAATTAAAGTTTGATTTGGAGTCACGGGATTAACCTGATCCCCCTTTCCCTCTCGTTGAACGAATGCAGCCAAGAACCCTAACCCTTACATAACTTCCTTCAGCCGCCACCATACTTGAAGCTCCTCTAACCGCCGCCTCCTTGCCGTTGAAGCTGGAAACCACCGAAGCCAAACCGTCGGTGAAGCTGCCGCCAGCGACGAAGAGCAGCACAAAGATGCCAGCAGCGGGTTGCCTCTGCCTTCCTCCGGTGAAGACGCGACCTGCATTCTCCGCTCCGACCACCCCCTTCGCTTCCTGTCTTCATGCTGCTCCACCGCCGGAAACTCTCGGTAAGCCCTTGTATTCTTCTCGGTGTGCGTGACTTGGTCGTTGTTTTGTTGTCGGCTTCGGCCGCCGATTCTGTTCATCTCAGCGGCGTCAGCCACCAAATGGGTGCCTGAGAATGGGCATTTCATGTCGTAATTTACAAGTGTTGCTGCTAGAACCCGTGAAGAGTATTGGCCGGAGGTGAGGCGAACCACCATGGCAGCCAACCATGGCGGCTGCCGTTTTCTGCCACCCATTGCCGCCACCAGCCACCGTGGGTGGTGGCTGTGTGTGTATACTATGTGTGTGTTAATGGTAAATGCAATATCAGTTTTCTTGGTCAAAAGTGAAGAAGATCACCACCACCACCACGAGATGGTGGCCGCCGCCGTGTGCCGCCATTGACCACCACTACCCGAGGTGGTAGTGGGTGGTACCCGGCCTAGTGGGACCCTAATGAAACCATAATTGACCTAAAAATCTAATTATTGGACTAAGTGGCATGTGCTTGGGTTAGAAACCCTAATTAAGGTTTAGAAAACTCTAATTTTGG